CACAGGGGTGCTCAGCGTGTCTCCCACACAGGGGTGTTCGGCGTGTCTCCTGCACAGGGGCGCTCAGCGTGTCTCCCACACAGGGGTGTTCGGCGTGTCTCCTGCACAGGGGCGCTCAGCGTGTCTCCCACACAGGGGTGTTCGGCGTGTCTCCTGCACAGGGGCGCTCAGCGTGTCTCCCACACAGGGGTGTTCGGCGTGTCTCCTGCACAGGGGCGCTCAGCGTGTCTCCCACACAGGGGTGTTCGGCGTGTCTCCTGCACAGGGGCGCTCAGCGTGTCTCCCACACAGGGGTGTTCGGCGTGTCTCCCACACAGGGGCGCTCAGCCGTGTCTCCTTCTATACACTCTTTTTTTTTTTTTTTTGAGAAAGAGAGAGAGATTTTTTGCTGTAGGCTGCATGTGCTCGCTGGAGAAACAAAGAAAGACAGAGACAGAAAGCAAGAAATCCCCCCCTAGGGGGGTGGCCACACCACAATCCCTTCTCCTCCATTCTCTTCCCAGGATTTTGGGCACACACGCCAATGTCCCCAGCATGAATTCCAAGCCACCGGGTCTGGGATTTGAACTGTGATGAGCTACGTAGGAATCTAGCAACATAACCTGTATGCATCTGCTGGTCCTCCTATCTCCCTCGTTAAGGTTTATTTTTAAAATGATTATTATCATTATTATCATTATTGTTATTTTGTCGCAGAGCATGTGTGCTTACTGGAAAGAGAGAGAGAGAAGGAAAGTGAGAAATGACCCCCAGCAGGATGGCCACAATCCCTTCTCTGTCCTCGTCTCAGGATTTGGGGCATGCACCCCACATGCCCAGTGTGTTCTTCGATCTGCTGGATCTAGAAATCAAAGCTCAAAGTCGGCCATGTGAGATCCAGCACCTTAACCATCATGTCGCCAGAAAAAAATTCATGTATTAAGCTTTTATTCATTTTCATTGGTGTCTTTATAGATAGCCAGTGAGTACTGGGCATCTGGTTACAGGATGTTTTCAACTTCGACTGATAAAAAGTACTTTCTTATATCCAGCTAAAATCTCGATGCATTTTTTTTTCTTTTTAAATGTTTGCTATAATGTGAGTGTGCTTGCTAGAGAGAGAGAGACAGGGAGGCAGGGAGACAAAGTGAGAAAGCACCCCCAGGGCGGTTGGCCACACCTCCTCCTCCACTCTCCCGTCAGGATTTTAGGCAGGCACGCACGCTTACACTTCTCAAGCAGCCAGGTCCGGGACTTGAACAGTGTGGCCAGTTATGTGGATCCAATCGCCCTGACCACTGGGCCACCGGCTGGCCTGCAATTTCTAAGTACTGGCTCTAGTTCTATTCGTTATGGCCGTGCAGGACAATGTAAAGTGGGCCCACGCTTCCACTGCGGGCCAGCATCACTTTGAGATACCTGTGTTTTCCCTCTGTACTTCATGAACAATTATTTTCCAAGTCAACCCAGTCCACACGCACTGGAGTTACAGAGGGTTTTCCAGCCGAGTGGGAAACGGCACGGTGTCAGGTACCTGGTGATAAAACCCAGCAGACAGCCGGTGCTTTCCCGGTCTCGGGGCCCCTCAGGCTTGCAGAAGAGGAGGTGGGAAGCGTGGCCCGGGGAAGAGCTCGTGCGTTGGCAGCACCTGCGAGGACGCTCCTCACAGGGGACCATCTGCAGCGGGCCCACTCCGCCAGCTCATGCAGTCATGTCCGTTGGATGCAGTCAGCCTGTGGTGGGTCCTCAGGTCATTGCCCTCACGACAGCCAACCTCAGAAACAGGCTTGGGGATTGTTTTACCGTTCGGATAATTCCCTCCTTTAACAGAGTTCTGACTGGAAGACAGTGCCCCCAGATTCTCAGTTAGGGAAGGGGCAGGGCAGACGGGTTTCTTTCTCGGAGCTTTGCCACCCGTGGGTGCACCTGCCAGTACCTCTCAGCTGGGCTTCAGGTCCTCCACCTTGGCTTAGGCTTCCCCCGCTG